TAGGGCTTAGGGTTTAGGGACCCTAAGCATGTTGGTCTTCTTTCTACATACACCATGCGGTCCTTCCATTTCTCTGCCTCTTTGACACCAGCCACGCCGCCGGCTGTCACCTGGTCCATGTCTACGTGGCATCGGCCACAACAGGGAGGGGAGCCGCAACGATCCCTGCATTCAGAATCTAGTCCGCCCAACAAAACACACCCTAAACGTTCTATAAACCTTCCTGTAAACCCTAAACCCTAAACCCTAAACCTTCCTGTAAGTCCAAAAGCCCCTCGAACAAAACATCCTATGTCAATCCGATGGCTTTGATCTATGGTCTTATCCGTCCCAGCATGACACGAAACTCCAACCCTATAAACGGCCAAGCATGGCCTAACTCGCAAATCTCAAAGGACATCAAGCTTGCAGAGTTTCAATGTCTACAGAAGAACTTGGGTCACTAGACCCGCCAGTGTTGAAGCATACTTCTAGTACGTAGGCAGAAGTCTGCATGGCACCTCGTTGTTGAGGTGTCTGGCCTCAGCAAGGCGCGCCCTTACCTTGGCACTCAGACCGTTGCAGACACCCGAGAGCGTGCTCCTCACCCGATATTGGCGGATGAGACGTTCTAACATGTACCTGGGCACTCGAAACCCTCGAACTCGCATCAGGAAAACACGATTAATAAAGAACCCTTGATGGGTAGGATGTTGGGTCTAGGTAATTGGGTTTAGGGCTTAGGGTTTAGGGTTTAGGGATTCATCCTAAAACAATGGAGAGTTTGCGGGCTTTCCAAGTAGGTATTCCAGGGCGTGTGAAGAGTTTGGAGTCGGGTGTTCTCCGGAAGCCAGGAATCCGTATCCTAAAAGCCTCAAGCCTACATGCCTGAAGCCTTACCCACCCTAAATCCACAGCCTTCAAAAAGGTTGTAAAGCTCTTATTTGTGGATACCCCAACATAGGATTGCCCTTGGGCTTCGCAATTTGAGGCCCGTACCACAAAGGAGGAGGTTTTGGAGAGAGATCGTTTTAGAGTAGCGCCGCTGTTTAAGGTTTGAGGTTTGGGTCCAACGCAGATGCCTTACCGGTACGGCCACATACTCCGAAGTGCTTCATTGTAAAACGAACTCGCGTGCGAACAAAAGGCCACAGAAGAAGACCACTCCGTGAAAAGCCAAAAGAAATCAAGTTTCGACTGAGCCCCCGCAGCGAGTACCACTTGTCAGGTTCTCAAGGGGCTTTAGATCCCTAAACCCTAACCCTTGACCCTAAACCCAAAGTCCTAAACCCTAAACCCCATCCCCAAACCCAAAACCCAACCAAAGCAGCTCAGACTCATACATTAGATTATATTATATTACATTTATATATGTGTGTATATATGTATATATCGTGAACTATATACCTCCATGGACGAAGATAAAGTGTAGGCAGATTCACTTGAAGTCTCCGACCCGAGATCCCCAGATCCGTACATCAACAACACATCCATCTCTTTCGAGTTAGGATTTAGGGTTTAGGGTTTAGGGTTTAGGGCTTAGGGCTTAGGGTTTAGGGTTTAGGGTTTAGGGTGGAATCTCTGGAAATACCACATGGGTAGTTCTCCAAATTCGGATCCCCTTTGAGGTCCCCCAAAGAATACGGCACCCTTATTACAAGGGCCCCAAATTTAGAGAACTACCCACATATGTACCTACAGAGAAATAACCGGCTGAACAGCTTGCAGTTGCTCGAAGTTCACGAAACATCCTGGAAATGCTACGTCTCTTACGCAACCCTATCCGTAGAGTTTTGTAGGATTTAGGCTTACAGCTTCGACGGTCAGCCCCCGATGTCCACACGAACAACCGTTGACTTGCAAGACGAACTGTGTTGCTGCATGCAGCAAGTTAGATGTATGATTCTAAAAACGATATATTGGGAAAGTCAAGCCTTGTGCAAGAGAGGCTTGTGGTAATAGCGCTCACGTGTAAAGGCTAAACCTTCAAGTAAGGGCTTGCGGTGCGGGGGCTTGAGGACTTGGAGGATCCGTCTGTGACAATATAGAGGCCTGAATACTTAGACTAGGGTATGGGGGTATATTAACTATACTGTAACTATAATCAGGAACCCCCAAAATTGTATTGGTGATCATTTAGGCCCCTAAATTCTCATTAGTCTTTTACCTATCTTTAAAGGAAGAGAAGACAGCCACCATGCCAGGCAAGAACGACAGGCTCGTGTTCCCGGTTCCATTATAAAAGAGCTAGTCTTACAGGCCACAGGTGGAAACAGGAAATAAAACCACATGGCACATCCAATATTCTCTTCTCTTCGGTTTCTTATTAATTAAATCTGACCTACAAGATGATAAAGTTAAGTCACGTATGATTTAATTTCAAGTAAAACACGACTTTCGTTTACATTTTACACACGCGTTCCGTTTAAATTAGAAGAACACCGCTTCACATTATTATTATCGCCTGCGAATCATTGTTGGTAGTGTTCTAATTCTCTTTTTCATCTCGAGCAAGGCGCTGGCTCATTCATTGCCTTCGCAATGTCCAGGCCTGCACAAAACAACAACTGGACAGCAAAGACGGCGACGGGGATTGATGAAGGGGGCCTTAGTAATTAGAACAGGGCTTGGGAGGTGCCTTGTTGTGATTATAGTTTAGGGTTTAGGGTTTAGGGTTTAGTATTATATATGTACCCCAAACCCTATTCTAATTCTTAAGGCCCCTCCTCTATGAGGGTTTAGGGATGTCTGGGGTGTGGCTGGCCCAGAAACGCAAATCTTCGTCGATTCGGCATTCTGTGCTCCACCGAGGCCCTGCAAACCACGACTGCCAAACCCCAATCCCATAGCACGATTAACATGCCATGCACGAGGGTGGTTCCCTAAATTAGGGTTCCGTTTTAGGTCCCCAATAGAGTCCGGCACCCGTATAAAAAGGACCCCAAAAGGGACCCTAATTTAGAAAACTACCCACGAAGCAATTCTATCTCCGGGTTGATGTTCCACCCGTCAGCGTAACGCTCAGTCAATGTTCACTTTGTGAGTCTGTGCACCCAGGCGTGTCAGTCAAGGCACCTGATCGTATCCCTCGAAGCCATTTCAGCTTCTCACCGAGGTGTCCTGTCAAGCTTCACGATTTCGAGTCTTCAGTGGCAGAGAGCATTTCGCAAAAAAGTAGACACATCGACAACCTTTCGGGGGCTTGAAATCCGGATGTCGAGGCAAGAGATGCTCCAGGCGACGGTTCCAGCTCAAGGTCTCTGCAGCCTTGCCTCGCTCAAAAGCCCTGTGGCCCTATGACTCTCTGCAACCTAGGTTTAGGGTTTAGGGTTTAGGGTTTAGGGTTTAGGTAGCACCCTGGAACCCGGAATCCTAAATCCTGTATCTTACAAATCCTAAACCCCAAATCCTAAACCGAGACCAAGAAGCCGTTCTCCTTTTGGTGCTGATGCCAAGAGCGACTCAAAGTGGAGTAGCTGCACTTCGAAGCCCAAGTTGGGATTGATGGCCTCATGGGGCTTCATCGGCAACAAATAGGTTTAGGTTCTAGGCTGCAGGGCTGAAAGTCTAAAACTCACGGCTTAGGTGTGAACGTTTAAGGGCTTAACACATCCAATCTCGGAACCCTAAACCCTAAACCCTAAACCCCATTCCCTAAACCCTAAACCCTAAACCCTACACAGCCTGAAGATGATCACAGAATCATGTTGCAACTACCCATAGACTCCAAAGTAGTTCCTTTCTGGGGTTCATATGTAGAATCTTATAGGGTAATTTCAAAAAGGAACTACTATGGGGCCTATGGGTATGTGTCGATGGCCATGAGTAGTGACATGGGGCGCAGTGACAAATATTGCCGCACGTTCTGCGAAGATACAACAATCACCATCACCACCGCGCCGTTCACGACTTCTACGAACGCCAGCTTCATCACCATCGCCTCCTACATCACTATTTGAGCCTTAACCACGGCCACAGCCATCACTTGCACCATCACCTCGACCACCATCAGCACCACTATAAGCATCGCCATCAGCACCAACCAGTACCTGACCCTGAACCACCGGCACTTCTAGAGTTAAGAAATTACCGCTCTTCTCACTGTCGTCGTAATCGTTCTTACCATGTCTTCCGGTACAGAAGGAAACTCAAAGCGATTTCCGAGCCCATCTTCAACTGGTTCCCTGTTGGGCTATAATAGAAATTATCATGTTTCATCCTTATTGGGTTTTATTATAGCAAAAAATGTAAAATTGGGTCCACCAGACGCCTTGAAAGCCCTAAACCCAAACCCCTAAACCCTTATGTCATAGAACTCCCAACCCTCAACCCGTCAGGAGCAACAAGGACCCAGTCAAGTCCACAGAGCCCTAAACCCTAAACCCTAAACTCTTAACCCTGAACCCTTAAACCCTAAACCCTAAACCCCTAAACCCTAAACCGGACTCTTTCCAGCCAGGATGCAGCACGCTTTGCCTCCACTTGACCCCTGGCAGCTTTGTAGGACAGGCCTTCACAGCGCACGATGGTGCACGAACCCTGCCCCTAAGGGTCCAAGTATTCATTATTTAAGGACTTTGGGGCTTTATGGGTACCAAAAACCATCAATATGGACTACTTGGACCCTTAGGGTGCATTATCTGAACTGCGACTTGTTTTTGGCTAACCTTAGCTGGTTCGCATCCAGAGCTCAAGCTTGTTTATGAAGACCTTGACGAATTCCGGCCCACGCAGCTGCAGCTGTCGCTGTTGGTGATACTCCTCTGCACCCACTACCAGTACTATTGCTACTACCACTACTACCACTACTACTACTACTACTACTACTACTACTACTACTACCACTACTACCACTAGTACTACTACTACTACTACTACTACTACTTCTTCTTCTACTACTACTACTACTACTGCTATTGCTGCTACTGCTGCTACTACTACTACTACTACTACTACTACCACTGCTACTACT